TCAATTAAGTTTTGGGAGTATTTCTTAAGATGTGTATAAGAGACAGGTATATTAGTACTTAAATGTACAATCAAGGAAATAAAATTCATGATCTTCATTGTACTAATGAAAGGTGTATCTTATGTTATCTAACCTTATTGTAAGTTATTTACAGTATTGTTACTATTAACCACTGGAAAGTGGGTGTTTGTATGTTTGATAGGGTGGGGTGGGAGAGGTACAGCAAATGCTCCCTAATACATGAGTCATTAAAAGTATTCGTGCATCATGGGTAAACCGATTTTTATTCACAGTGGGTTTGAATTTTTTTTATAAATTTGTATTTGTATGTTGAAACAGGTTTGTTAATTCTTTTTTGTAGAATTCAGTGATGGTACAACATTGGCGTAAATTAAATGAAGGAGGAATTCTGGAAGAACCGTTAGCACGGCATTTGTGGAGAAATGAACTCGAAAGCAGTGAAGATGATGACGACATTGTTTTTAAAGACTTCATTGAACTTATGAAGGAATTTGGACTTCTCTTTGAAAAGGTGTGGCCTATTGGTACCTCTATTTATACTTTCGATCCCAACTAAATAATTAATTACTTTATGTAATGTCGTAGGCTCTTAATTTTTAGCCCGTTTGGAAATCCTGTGGTTTAAATTTTTAGTTTGTTATTTTTTTGGTAAAGTGGATAAAGAGAATGAGGTTGCAAAAGACGCGAGAAGACCAGTTCACCCCTCCTCATATTCAAACTAAAATTGTGATGGTTTTTTTTTCTTTTCATTGTATAAAGTTCAAGGAAGCAGAATCAAAAGATGGCGCTCGACTATTTGTTGTTCCATCTCGAATGAAGACCAAAAATGATGATAGATTGGAAGTAAAGGAAGATGATAAGCAGACAGTATCCATCTATGTGACACCTAAGGACTTTCTCCCCGACGCCGTCTACGATATCTTGGTCGTCAGATTTGTGAGTTTGAGTCAAGAGAATGGTTATTGTGATGACCCAGAATTGTTTCAGAATCAGGCTAAAATTATATTCGATGATAAGCATTACCTAAGACTAGGTCGAATATCAATTGATAATAAACGTTCTTTGAAGGTAAGTAGGCCTTTTGTTTTTGAAATATTTTTTCATTATTATTCTGTTTATATACTTTTTAATTATATGGGCACCGTTGAGGTTTTTCATGGATATTCCTTATGTAAAACAAGCATCTTAACCGCTAAGCAACAGCTCCACTCCATGATTAAACAAAAAGAATACACTATACTACTCAGTTATTTGAATAATTTTTGTAATTAAATTGTTTTTCATTTTAAAGCTTGAAATATCACGGATGAAAGAGAGAGACGCAGACGGCACAAACATGTCAGCGTGCAAGCCGCACCCTGACGTCTGTAAGAAGGTAATAATTTAATTCATTGATCATTGGTGATCTGAGATTACACTTAATTTAGATTTGGTACCAAATGGCTAATTATATTATAATTGAATTTGAAGTAAAACATTTGTATTACATTTTACAGGTTTTGCAGGTTTTAAGGCAACACCTAGGATATCCGTCTAAGAGTGTTGTCGGCTATGCTCTGAAAATCCTTTGCTTAGTCTGTTCAAACACTGAGGAACCACACTTTCAAGAACTTGAGTACTGCTTAAAGAATGAGAATATGAATTGTGATAAAACAGGTGAACTTATAACGATGCCAGCAGCTAATGTAAAGAAGCTATTTGCAGCTGGTATGTGTTTGGGCTATTGAAATAATTATTCATAAAATGATTAAATAATTTTGAATTTAGTAAATACCAATTTAGGTAGAGAAATGATTGTAAACACAATTAGAGAATTCAAGACTAAATAATTTCCAAATTATTTTATCATTTCACAGACTAGTCTGTTGTTAAAAAAAAGAGAAAATTCACTCAGTTAATTTTATAATTAAATTAAATTTTATTTTATTTGTTGGGGCTATTTTTTGTATTTTATTGTCCTTCACAAAATTGACTACAGCAACTGTACTTAAGTACACTGGTGTGCAACACAATTTTTATCAAGGATTTTAAAAGTGAAACAAACAGTGAATAATAGGAGCTTGTATGAATATAATTGTAACAACACTTTTACATAACTATAATGTGAAACAAATAATTATTGATATAATTATAGGTATTCTACATCAATCCTCGGATACTGCTGATCAATCCTCGGCTACTGCTACGCCTCATCAATCCTCGGCTACGGATACATCTCATAGGTTTGCATGCTCAGGTTGGTAGATACACTTATACTGTAAAACGTATAAAGCAGGTGGACCTTGATGTCTTCCTACTTTATATGCAAACACATTAACCAACTGAACCAACTACAACAGAGGCTTGTAAAAATTTGAATCCGATTAGAAACAACTATTTTGTGTGTGTGCGTAATAGCACTAGTTAACGCACTATGTAAAAAAAAGCACAAAAAAAACAAAAACAAACAAACAATGAAATGGCTTCATCTTCAGAATTTGAAACTAAACTGGATTTCCAAAGAGATACTTTTATACAACACTAGATTACATGTAAAGATAATGTGAAAATGCTGTATGATGGGAAACTCTAAAACATCACGTGGAAAAGGGTACAGCAAGTGCAATGAATAAGAGCAGACTATTGAATTGCAAGAGGTCCGACTGTTCGATTTTGTATGCACGCGATGGAACATGCTGCCACGGGATAGGGGGCGTCCTACTAGATTTTGATTTGAGTTCGCTCGAAACTCGTCTTTTCAGTTTTAAGGACACGCCCCTTCGTGGCACTACTTTTTAAAAATCGGATTACGTTTCAACAAAACCACGAGAGTTGGACCTCTTACAGTTCTATACTCTTTGGTAAGAGGAATAATCTTCATGCATTTTTCGCATTGTTCTACTTGATATTTCTTGGTTCAATATTTTTCAAATTATTTTTTCCTTAACTTTGTTAAGATAATTACTTTTTTTAGATAATTATAGAGTAATAAAAAACCTGAACTGATTGTGGTGGATTCTTCTTCACACTGTCCTAATACCACAGCCTGCTCCAAATTGTTTTGTTACATTTCTAGTACCTAATGTCTCATACGCATGGGAAGGATAATGAACTGTATATGGAAGGGAATTGTGAACTGCACCATTGATATCTATTCAGAGAACTGTCATTATTGCTCTCTGAAATGCATAAGATGACATTATTTATATGATTAATGTAATTTACTGTATGTTAATGCACTCCCGGCAATTTTACAATATTTGGTATTGAATTATAGGCTCATCCATGTAAAAAGTTCAATTAAAATTTTAAAATGCAAATAAAATATGGTTAAATATTGACACTTAAATAATGTTTAATTATTTTGTATCATTGTCAGATAAGGACTTCAGTATACTTAAATCTGTTGTTTCAAAGTGGTATGACCGCCACAAAAGTCTTCCTATGCTGAAAGTGTTGTTTAGAGATCATGTGGAACGTGGCGCACTGTCAACAGTAAATAATACGATGGACTTGCTTAATCATTTGGTTAGGCTTGGTCGTCTGCATTCACAGAAGCTTGGACTCTTGTTTGATACTATTAACATAACCCAACATTTTGGTCTTTCATTGGAGATTAAAAAAATGCTGCCATCATTCCCAGATGAAAAAGAGGGAAACATTTTCAAAGAATTCACACCTCACAGACAAACTCTAATGAGGATTGGAATGGCACTGACCCCAGCCGATGTGAAGAAGATTGATGGATTTTATAATACGCCTTGTGAGAAGTATACAGACGCCTGGGAAATGATCACAGATCTAGAAGATGGAATGAAAATCAGCAAAAGAAATATGAAGGAATTCACTAATATTCTGGAAAACTCAGGCGGGAATTAAAAGGTTTAAATATAAGCTACATTAATGTATCCTATTTGTAAGAGTGAATGAATGTGAATGAGTACCTTGTCAAATTTACAGTTGGCCAGGCCGTCTGTGCCCGCTTGTAAGCTATTGTCATTGTAAGATATTGAATATTTGATTGTCTTAACAACGTTTATTAGGTACCTGCACAGTTCGTTAATTCATTTAAATTGAAAACTCCAGTACAGTAAATATATTTAGCATAAACCATAGGTTCACAGCTAGTAAGTTTCACATCAGGGGCGGCGCCAGCAGGTCTGGGGGTGGGGGTGGGAAGACCCCCGTCAGGGACCTTTCCCCCCCCCCCCCCCACCGTCGTGGAATTTCCAGCAAGGTCGTCGGGGAAAATAAAATGTCGACCGCCGAAAGTACAATGTAGGTAGCTTTATAATAAGCTGTCAAATTTTAGGGATTAAAAACTGATTAGTGTGAGCAGTGCTACCGTATGTGTGAGGCGTTGTATACCTTCGCGATCGTATGGGTTGCGGTGGTAGCGTAAGATCTTTCCCGACAGGGGCCTTTTACAGGGGCCTCTTAATTTGCATGGTTTTCTATCAAATAATCCTTTTTAAATAGAGAATACTATAATCAACACAAGTTTTCCCCGACCGGGGGGAGATGGGTGGGGTGCTAGGCTTCTCCGACGGAGGGCTTCGACCCCTTGTCTGGGGAGCTTGGACCCCTTGTCGTGGTGTTCCTGGTCCCGCTCCTGTTTTACGTAAGATAATATGAAACAAGCTCCAAAAAATAAATAATGCTAGCCATTGTTATTCAATATTCCTGAAGAATGAAGCATGTTTAACAAATTAATTCCCATTATCTGAAAATACAATTGGATTTGTTTCCACAGTGCAATTTACTCACTTTTGATGTTGGATGCCGCAGTTGAGATGTGTATTCTAAACCAAACCAACTACCAGAGTCAGATGTTGCTACATTCTTGAATCATGAAAGAAACAAGGACGTCTAAAATCTGTAAAAAAATAAATCTTCAAAAAGAAAAGTGATATCCAAATCTATGACACTGACAATGAAATTGACTCAGCAATATTGCAGTTTATACCTAAAATACTTCTGGGTAACACCAGATGTATCAGTCATCATTAAACTTGCAAATCTAATCCATATTCATCAGTATCGAAACAATTATTTGGTCCATTGTTCCAACATTAGAATGTCAAACAGGACTACCTAATGAAGTCAGGTGCCGATTCCTGAAAAATAAAAAAATATGAAAAATTACATATGATAGCCAGTGTAACATAGTTTATAGAAGTACATTAGGCCTACTTATCTAATTACGTCGGTACATTGTCCATTCAGTACACCCGACCCTTTACACACACACACACACACACACACGCGCCCACACACACACACACCCATACGCAAAATAGTACATGGATCACAATGGATAGTAATATATCATAAAACGATTGCAATACGCATGTAATAATGACGTCATCACAGTATAGGCCTAAGTGAAGTGGATTTTTATTCTGGTAGATAAGGTGTCTGCTTTAAAATCGCCAGGGTCCTGGGTACAAATCCTGAATAAAATGATGTCACTTCCTAACGTTGCTATGAATGAACATTTTTTATACCAAGTTCAATTCATATAGGGCCTATACAACTTCAAGACCAATAGATAAATGGGTGTGTTCATTTCATTTCATTTTTGGTCAGCAATACAAAAATGGGGAAATTAGGCCAAACCAAGTGGAACTAAAATCACTGTATAATCATTTTAGTTAAATTTATATAATTGTACTGTAGTAATGATGTATAATTATTTTAATGTTCATACTGTTTTAATAGGTCCTATCATGTTCAATAAAATTACATAATAAGCAGTAATAATTCACTTCTGTACATAAAAATATAATATATTTTTGAATTAGTCTAATTTGTGGTTTTTATAGAAATATTACGATTATTAATGTTAAAAATTGATAATCTAAATCATGTACTTTAACTACTTTAAATATAAATTTGAATAATGATAATAATGTAATAATTATAACTATTAGGAATTCTAATTCATACTGAACCGTTCTTATATCTGAGGAAAATTTTATTTATATTTTTTATAATTTTTTTTATAAATATAAGTATGACTTTCGAATTGATATAAATTATAAATTCTATTACGTAATGCTCATTTATTGTGGTATTCATTACCGTATCCAGCTTGTTTATGTATTGAGATGGTAGATTAATATTTTGACAAAATAGTTCTGATATTCTAAGCCCGGTTTACAAATTTTATGCTGTTTTATGACGTCATATAGTATAATAAATTCTATTACGTAATGCTCATTTATTGTGGTATTCATTACCGTTTATCCAGCTTGTTTATGTATTGAGATGGTAGATTAATATTTTGACAAAATAGTTTTGATATTCTAAGCCCGGTTTACAAATGTTATGCTGTTTTGTGACGCCATATAGTATAATTAAATTTCTATTGTCCTCGGACTACTAACATTTCAGTGAAGTATCCTATACATAACACTTGCTGGATATTTTCTCTTAGAATTTTTCTTTTGGAGTTTGCGGCGGAGAGAAAAAGCACAATTCGTTGGGGAGAAAATATATTATATGTATTCTTTACATATTAGTAGACTCTAAAATCGATTAAATAAGCCTTTGAAACCCCTAAATTGTCAAAATTTTCGTGGGCTTCGTCCCCAGGACCACTTTCGGAACTTTTTAATCGAAGCTCGACCACACCCACTTTGCTTTTGTGGAGGAAATCTGACACCTCGTTTGGGGCGCCGCCCCTGCAAGGAGTAAAAAAAAAGAGTTATGGGTCGGGGTGCATGGTCACTGCTCTGAATATACGTCTGCAACAGAACCATTGTGAAGCATGCTGATCAAAACTTAAACATTTATATGCAATCTGCGCATTATAGGCCTAAATGTGTAAATTGTGACACTATATATAATAATGTAAAAGATCGCGTCAACAAAAGTTGTAGTGTTAAATTGTGATGTGAAAACAACATTATGTTTAGGCCTTTGGTTTAGCATTCTACTGCTTCAAAATAGAAACGCTTCATTTGTAACAATAAAATGCATCGTCACGTAATGTTATTTATACTTTTTTGCGTTTTGTGTGATTGGTTGTCGGTGGTTATAATAAAATCAACAAACATATTAATTATATTATCACAGACATAGAGTCTGTGATGATTATGTATATATAATTGTTGTAATCACATTTAGTTGATGAATATTTTGTTCAGGCATTTAAACCATGGACATGGTCCACGTTTAAACTATTATTATTATTATTATTATTATTATTATTATTATTATTATTATTATTATTATTATTATTATTATTATTATCTTTGAAGTTAGGCGCATAATTTATTATTAGAAAAGGAGTGTTTGCATTTAACTTAAAAATTTACTCTCATTATAGTCACCTTAACATAGCCAACAATATCATCATTGGGCCATCATAGGAGGAAGTAAACTTTATCATATGTTAAAATTTTAAGGATTGCACGCGTCCTGATGCCTGATACATGGCCCATGGTAGATAGAAGCCCATTGTTATAAATCATAGAGGTAAAGTGGTTATTGGGTTTTATCGTCAATACACTCATAAGCGTACTAATTTGCATGATGATAGACAGCAAATGAACCAAAGAAAAGCGCTTATAAAATTGTATTTCGATTCGCCTGTAAATACCGGCGTCTATGATGTCAAGTTTTGTTCCTCCAGTGTTTTGTTCTGATCAAATTGTGTTTCGTGAATAGCCATCTTTTCAAGTCATACGGTATTAGCTTCCTGGGATCACTCCAAATGAATAATTCTAAAATATGTAAATATGTACACGTTATTTATATACATATAATTTGGTAATGAATTAAATTCTGTACAATTTGTAAGTGACTCCTACTATAGGTGCTCTGATAGAAACCTACCAATAACGTCTATCAATAAAAGTAGTAATAGTACTGTAATAATAATAATGATGATGATGATCGTGATTATGATAATAGGTAATAATAGGCGCCCTATTAATAATATTAAAAATTTGGCCTGAGAGGCAATTTAATTTGGCACGGGATTTGATCATAGTTATTATAGTAGTTAAAGCTTAGTAGGACTATATTAAGGCCTAGGCATAAATTGTCCTACATATTTAATTAGATCTGTATGGTTGCTGAGAATCCCTGATAAAAGATCATGAGAAATTTGTTGGCGCTTCATTTAATGGTGATGTGATGATGGATTTTTCTATATAAAAGTGTCATTTGCGGCCATAGAGGTACTATTTCCTCAAATTTTCTCACCTCAGCCACAATTATCGAGGCTGAGGTCACGGTAAAGCGGTATTTTAGTAGGTAAAGTAGCCTACATTCATAAAGACTGTTTTTAAGCTTTATTATGGTACATCTCATATTATTAAGACCTCTATGGTAGCCAAATATCCCCAATAAACGATCATGAGGCGCTTTATTATGCTATGCAGATGACTAAAAGTTTCATTTCTGGCCATCTAGTCAGTGCATAAATTTGTTTTCATGATGTGATATCTGGTTTTTTCATTCCCATTTTTCGTGATTATGACTATTTTGGATGAAGAATATTTTAAGCAGTGGCAGATTCAAGACTCCCACCCACCTACATTTTTTTAAAACATTTTTTAAGGGGGAAAATATATTCAAATTTATGTCTGAGAGTGTAATTTCCGGCCATCTAGAGGTGCCCTAATCATAATATTATGTTCTTACTTCAGCACCAAGCCATGGTCAGTCTGTGAAAGTCCCTCCCTTGGCCGTCTCTCGAATTCCTGGATCCCCTTCTATTGAGTTATTAATATTATTGTTAGGCTTACTATATTATTTATGATGTGTCTATTGTAATTTCTCACTTATCCTCTCATCCTTAAACGTTCAGAGTGCGCTACCTCCCAGAGGGATTTCCTCCTGTACCCCACAGGTCCGTGGCGTCCCCA